ACAAAATTTCAACCCTAAAGATAGGGATTCTAGTTCTAAGGTGGACAAGCTGATGGAGGAGTGATTAGAAAACAAATTTATTGGGGTCAATGGGGAACTTTCTCCATACTTCGACGGATTTGAGGCTCCTGTTCAATTCAGATTTGACATTCTCAGCTCGTTTTCTTTGCACCAAGATAACATATTCATTAAACGATTCTCTTCCATCATCAAGTGAAAGAGAATCGTTTAATGAATAGAGCACACATTGAGGTGACAGCCGAATGACATCTTTCACCAGGCTTTCGATCGGGACCCTAATGGGGAGTGACGAGTGGGTCTTCGGTGAAAGGGTGTTATGGATGAGATCGTTTGACTAGGGGGAGATGAGAGATTATAGGCGATCGTGTGGCTAGTTAGCTAAAGAGGACAGCAGAAAAAAGAACAAAGTGGAGATGTGTTGTTGAAGCCGTATGTTCCACTCGGAACCAAAAGGGACAGCAATAATAAGTAATTTTATAGAATACTAATTGATAAGAGGAAAATAACTGAAAAATAATCCGTAATTTTCATCAAATTGTCAATCTTCAATTAAACTGAATCTAATTTTTATACGCCTTTAAAGTTATTCGATTCTATATCAAATACCCTCTTAAAATAATTCAAGTTTGACAGGCAGATCGGTGACCTTTTTGTTCATTTCTCATCTGACTGATTAACCAAGCTTTTTAATATATATATATATATATATATATATGTATCAAAATGAATATAATCTATCATGAGGTAATAATTGAAACCTAAGTCAAGTAATTGGTTATGACAGAAATGGAATTACATGCATTAATGTGAACAGGTATACTGCTAACAATGCACAAATGAATATGCGGTGTATACTACTGACTGTTGTGAGTAGTAGTAGTAGTAGTACTTGCTAAGATACAAACAAAGGATGGTCGTTTCGCTAGTTTTCTGTCAAGCTCATCAGTAGTGTAACCATGTAGGCTTATCACTACTGGTTGATTTGATTGATTCCCTTGACTGATTCACTCGTATATATCATCATTTACGGACGCCTTCTTTCTCGATTACCATTTATAGTAATAAGCGGATTACATTATTATTATTATTTTATCCTTTAATTCCTAGAGGAACATAGGGCTTCAGCTGCGCGTCTCCATTTCCTTCTGTTTTCTGCCAACTTTTTCACCCCGCTCCAAGTCTGCCCACATGCTTTCATCTTCTCCTCGCATGACCTCCTCCAAGTCACCCTTGCACTGACGACCAACTTGCCACTTCCCTTTCGGCCTGTTTCCACTCGAGCAATGACTTGTCTAGTGATGTCACTTGATGGTTTCCTCAGAGTATGGCCCGCCAATCCATCTCCATTTCTTCCTAATTATTTGTTTCATAATAGGTTCCTGGTTGGTTCGCTCATTGCCAGAGATCCCTTTTGCTGATCTTTTCTGGCCATCTGATCTTGAGTATTGAGCGAAGACAACTGTTGATGACGGTTTGGAGTTTGTTTGAGGTGCTCTTTATGACTCGCCAAGTCTCTGATCCGTATAGAAGCAGAAGCGGATTACATATTGTGATCTAAATATTCTCCGTTTACGACGAGAACTTTTTGGTGGATTTACATCTCAAATACCGTAATTTGCGAACTATGATATTTAGCTACAAATGTAAAGCATTATTTACTTATGCCAATTACCAAATGGTGTTCGTTGGTAACTTTATGACTGGAAAACTGAAGTTGTGAGTATTTATCAGTGTTCAGATGTGTGGGACCTGTACGGGATGAATTAATTTAATTTCACTTGTTAGATTTCATCCTGAACCAATGTTGGTTAGAGGGAGCACTGGAGAACTGTTGCATCTGAGTTTGAAACTCTTCAGCAATGCACTACCACAACCTTACGAAGAGTCGAACTCGGGACATGTGGGCTGTGAGGACAAGCCGTTTAAACATACAATGACCGGTGTCGGAATTTAATGACTCATGAATTCTAATTACATCAATTTATGATATAGCGCTATATTCATCAATGCTTTCGATGAGCATTCTTGTTCCCCTTGAGATGACGGGTCTCAGTGCTCACGAATTGTGATTTACAGTTTCATGACATCGATCCAGTAGGAATCAGTGAGCAAGGAGATTATCATTTAGCCTATGAGGTCTGTGGAAATTTCGACTGATTTAATTTCACTAATTAATAATCCTCATCGAGACATAGAAACTAAGAATTTGGGGAAGGAAATTCTATTTTCGACGATTTCATTCTCATAGCTATACAGCCATTTATATATATGAATTACAATAGACGATAACAATCAGCTTTCTTATGTTATGTTATGTTATACTATTCTAACATCTTATTTAGTTTACTATTCTGACAACATTTCGCTCATCTTAGATTTTCATCATACTACATTCATATATTTACATTTCCTGAAAGTACTCTACACATGTCTATTGAACTTTAAGTTGACCTCTGTTTATTTAGTTATTCATTCTTATAGCTAGCTAATCATTTCTGACTCATAATCGCATGCATCGATATTATCTCACTTTGGTATATCCATTCACTGTTAAACCTTAACATACAAAGGAGAAACTGTATTATTATTATTATCGTTCCCTTGGGTTCCTAGTGGAACATCGGGCTTCAACTGCACGTCTCCACTTGCTTCTGTCTTCCTTTTGCTGTACTTTTCACCTGCATTCATGTTAGTCCATAGTGTTTCAATTCCTCTTCACACGATCTCCTCCATGTCACCCTTGCACTGACGGCCCACTCGCCGCTTCCCTTTCGGGTTCCACTCGAGGGCTTAACGCGTGATGTCACCCAGCGGTCTCCTCAGCGAGTCTCCGATCCATCTCCACTTTCTCCTGCATATTTGTTGGGCGATTGGTTCTTGCTTTGTTTGTTCCCATAGTTTGTTGTTGTTGGTGATTCTTTCCGGCCCGACCATCTGATCTTCAGTATAGATCCAGCGAAGACAGTTACTTGTTGATGAAGGTCTTCATGCAACAGGCTATTGGAAATATTCTTTGTGACCCGCCCGCCAAGTTTATGATCCGTATAGAAGAACTGACTGACTTGACGTTTGTATTGAAAATCCTACCTAATTATGTTGCTGATGCTGAGTGACGAAGATTCCCAGATTGGTTTCAGGTTGATGAATGTGTGTGTTTCTCGCCTTCCCGATTCTCGCTCAATTTGACATCCTTGTCCGTTCCGACTGCCTGTAGTTGAGACAGTGCTTCCTAGATAAGTGAATGAACGAAGTAACCTCTTTCAAATCCCCCCCGTTGATGGTGATTGGCGCTGGATGTTGCTGGTGTTGTTGTTGTTGGTTGGTTATTTTCATCACCTCCATCTTGTCTATGTTCACCTGGAGTCCTGTCTTCGCCGGCTGCTTCTTCAACCAGCTTGTCGATATTCGCTTGTAAGTCTTCGATTTTGTGTGAAATCAAACGTAAATCATCCGCGAAATCCGGGTCTTCTAGGTTCTTCGCGTCGGTCCAGGATATCCTTGTCTTCTCGAGGAGAAACTGTAGCTGTTGTCTAATGTAATTGTTATCGATATACGATTGTACGGCCATGAAAATGAATTCGCTGAAGGAAGAAGTAAATTTCACTCGTTATAAACTAAACAGTACGATACTGACCAGCAAGAAATATGGAAGTCATTGTCCAGCGGATAACTTCATAGCCGAAATTCTCAAATCAACATTAGTTGACGGAGGTCCAGGTAACATAAGGCATATATCTCTATTAGGTTGCTAAAGTCACTTCTGTCTAGCTAACAGCTACTGTTGATTGACCTTGGTGGTCTCAAATCAACCATTTCATTCATCGGTTAGAAGAAAACGTTCTCCAAGGAACCATATTCCATAATAACAGATTTGTTTTATGCAATCTCTCGAACAAGTGAATTCTATCTGTTTATATTCACGTTAAACCAGCTGTTAGGTCGTCACTTTGATTTCTTAATGAGTTTAACTACTTCAAACAATCTAGTCAAACTAATGCTATTCTGTAACGTGGTTTATCAAAGCTATTTCAAATGTGACGTGGTATAAGTAGTACAAAATGTGTATGCCAGTTAGAATTTCAATGATCCTTAGGTTATACTTCACAGAATATATCTGTGAAGTATAATTACTTCCTTTACTGTCTTTTTACAATAATTATATTTCTCTGTTCACTCTGGCCTCTCCCAGCTGAGGATATGCGGCAGTTCTGTGTATTCGATCATCACTGTCTACGTGGGATTGCTTGCGTTCGACAGCATCATCGCATTAGTAACTCTGGGGTTTGGATGCGTGTGTTAGAACACAAAGGAGGAGAAGTACGCAGCCCGCCCCCCCAAGTGGGGTTCGAAGCCAGAACTTTCTGGTTTCAAGGCTAACGAGCTCTTAGACCATTAGGCTACTGGGAAGTGGCAGAAGTTAGAATTCATGGATCATTCAATCAGATTCCAGTGGCTTAATGGTCTAGGAGCTCACCTTGTAACCAGAAGGCCCTGCGGTCGAAGCCTGATGAGAATCCCAAACTAGGCTGAGGAAACAGCTGTCCCATAATTCCTGGTGGTTTTCCAATTGTTCTCCAACCGATATCAGCTCATCATGATGAAATCCGTCAACCAATCAAACAAGAAATCCCCACAAAACCAATACTTGAAAATTACTATTTCATGAAATATACTAACCACATTTATTGTCATGGCATATCAATGACAGCAAAAATTAATCTCCAGTTAATTTCAGACTACTCATGTATACAATAATGCGCATACTCATGCACTCATACACATGCACATACATATACATAATTCTAACATATTTCTTTATATTAATTAAAATACAACTAGCTTTTTTTCCTTTAATTTGTTAATATTCTTCTGATTGGTCACTTACTATACATAATTTTTAAGGATTATTATTATCCCATTGAAGATTTGATTGGACAAGAAAAATGTTAATGTATTAACCAGTTAACTGTATTACTAATCCAATCATTATCTATTCTCCATAGTAGAGTGAAGAATGTTTTAAAAAATTCTCAAAATATGTATATAATTATAATTATGATGATGATGATGGCGACGAAGATGACGATGTTAATATGTGTAAATAGATGTTCCTGAAGACATCTCTCTGACCACCATTGTTTTTGATTTCTCCCAAAAGAAACAACCCAATTATATATATATATTGATACTTTAAAAACAGTACTAATTATCATTGCTACTTCTTTCATTACGTAATACTGGATTAACCTGAATATGATTTCAATAATGTCTGACAGCTAGTGAATTGGTAAGTATAAAGACTACTAAATGATATACATTATTACTACTTTTAATATAATAATAACTTTTGATGTTGAAATCTTTGCATCGGAGATGGCTTTCATATCGGTTAACATTTCATTCCCGTAGGGAATATAAAACAAGCAACACCTTTGAAAAAGGGTGTATTTAATGAACTCATATAGTCCGGTAGAAGGAGTCGTCAGCTGAATACTCCTCTATAAAGATTGTTATTTATACAGTTCCTTTTTAAATTAAATACATACAGACATATGAACATTGTTACCTCAAATAAGTATCAGTTGTGACAGATGTATGATCTTTAGGTAATTGGTGAACAGAACACTTCTGGTTTACCTTTATAATTTTCCTCGCTTTGACTGGTGTTCGAACTCAGGACCTTCGGGTTGCAAAGCAAGCTCATATACCATTCAGCCGCTGTGACCTGAATTCCAACTTCTAGCAATTCGTGATTTTAGCGCGACCTCCAACCAATTTCATTGTTAGGAAGCTCATCCTCACACCTGACTGCATGCACCTCATTGGTCACGACTTCTCGCTAGAACTCCAGGATACTCTCTTCTGTAGCAAGTCACTAGAGAGGTATTTCATCTGACATACTGTTAGTTTCTTTAGAATATGCGCATACTGAAGATGATGGTTGAGTATTAATCCTGATGAGGAGTGTTCAACGAATGTTCTGAATCTTGTCACTTAGTCCCATAAGGCTTACACGAGTTGAATTTACTTATGTTTTTTACAAAGTTCCCTTATTTCAAATCTAAGTGTGTATAACTGTATTAATTTTACGACAATAACTTCAGTTTATATGTTAATAGGTACTTTGATGAATATTATTCGCGAAATGATAATGTTAGCAAATTATTAATCAAAAATTATAGATCATATACTGTTGAAACGGATATTTATTTGCTGTAACAATCTTCATTTATTTGTATGTATTTAACCCTATAAGAAAATTGTGTATATATAAAAATGTTTGTAGAGCAGTACTCAGCTGATGACTCCTTCCAACGAACTATATGAATTCACTGAAAACTGACTTTTTCAGAGTTGCTGTTTGTTTCACTAAGCTCTGTGTTCGAGACCCAGTGGGAACACTTTTATTCACATTGGAATAATAGTAATAATAATAATAGTGATATGAACAAAGAAGGAACGAATATATTTGCACAATAACATGAACTCGTTTTAACTCGTGGAATCTTGTCAACTGCATTAAAATAATACTTTGAATATGCTCTTATCTAAGTGATGTAGAGTTAGTAATAATAAGTATGAACAACATAATTCCCCCAAAAAATTATGACATGAATAGATGAATTATTTGCAGTGTTGAAATGAGGCTAACTATTTATGGTACAACTAGACAGTCGATTAGGAGGAAAGAGTACAGTTCAAATGTGTCATAGAGCCAAGCAGACAAACTATAAAAAAAGCGGAATAAATTTATGCAAAATACAGTAGAAAATTCGACAGGATAGAAGTGAAACGTAAAAGAAAAGCGATGACGCATACAAACAGCGTTGAGTAAATTTGGAAACTTGATAGTGACTTTAACTTAGTAAGCCTAAATCAAAATTGTGTAAATGATTCTGCTAGGAAAACTTTTTTCATAAGATCTTTATGAATGCAACACATTCATTCATACATTTACCTAGTGATGTACAATTTTTACTCTATATTATCAGGTTTCTGAAGAACAGTATTGATCTGAAATGGTTATTGAAAGAAAGACTATACGTGCTGACAAACGATGTATGTCTTCTTATCAAGCTTTACTCCGACACCTATAGGCTTCTACATTAATATAAGTCACTATGCTTTCCCTGGTGCATAAGTGAGATGCGGTTTACTAAAAAAAACGGGGGAAGTGACATTATTAAGCTAAATCACCCCATGCCAACACAGGGACAATGATCATGCAGACGAATTTTGAGGAACACAGAAAATAAGTATTCACTTGTATTACTTTAATCTCATCTTTATTTTAAGGACGTGAGAAAATTCCATGAAAATTATTCGATGGGCAAGGAAAATCCTTTTTGTATCTGTCATGCTTAAATAGGAAAAAATGGAGAAAATTTAACTTTGTCTGTTTATCAGCTACTGACAGACATACATGGTCAAGATTTCGATTAGGCTGATTCAATAGACGTGATTACTAGTGCTACTACGCCTACTGATAATAGTCCCAAATGCAAGTAAAATGATCGTGATACCTGGATCATGTACTAATAGGAATGTTAAGTTTGGTCCTAATGAAATTACTTCTCGTTTTTTGGCGTTAGTAGAAAAAACCTTGAGCCTTGCTTGAAAAGTTTTAATGATCCTAAACAGTTGGCATATAAACATCACAGATGTAGTTAAGATGCTGCTGCTGTCTTACCTGACAATATTGATTGAAGTTTAGACAAAGGAGCCAAATATGTTCGACGTACTTTCTGTGACTACATATAAGCTCTTGACTATGTAACTAGATGTCTTCTTTTAAATAAGTTTTTCGTGACACAGACCGAGTCTTGGGCTGTTAACTGGTTGCATTCCTATTTCTCTGACAGGGTGCAGCATACTTTACGAGAAAAGGTGAATCTTCTTCTGCCTTAAAGGTGTCCTTCAAAATGCTGTTCTCTTTCATTTCCTTTTATATTTCTTCTTACATGAATTGCCTTTTTCGAAACGAATCAACCTAGTTGAATACACAGTTGTTCCGACTACATCATTGCTTGTTAAGTCCCGATCTGACTGTTCCAAATTTAATAGCTTTCTGTCAGACATGAGTCGGTGGTCTAAGCTGCATGGTCTTACGTGAAGTCCCTGCTAATGTCAGATAGTTAACTTCACTTCCGAGCATAAACGTGATCTCCACGAACTTGTTTGTTCATAAGATGCTTGTAGAACACAGAGGGCGCTGAAGTACAAAATAAGTCAACCAGTAGATTCTTTGAAATTGTTCTATCCCCTGACCTTTCTTGGTCACTCAATATCCTGTCTATTTCTAAGAAAATGCTCCATCTAACCTTCTACATCAAGAGGTTAGAACAATCAGATATCAGTCAACCCCTACTTTTACAAAATTTTAAATCTTGCACCTTACTTATTGTACTTTACTACTCCTCCTTAGTCCCACCTAGGCTAATCAAAAGGATAGTGCCATATTTTGAAGGGTATTAAAGATTGTCAGTAAGGCGAGTGGTGTGTCACTCAGTCAGCGCGTTACTATTGTAGTTGGCAGACACCTGAATTCATGAGGCAAATGAGACTAATCCGTATTAGATGACCTCAGCACCCTTCTCATTTGCAAATCTCATCATGCATCCCATCAGGTAGGACTAGAAGTCATTATCAAAGATTATTTTCTTTTTTTTCTTTTTCTTTTCTTTCGCTGCAATTGTCTTCTTATTAACTCCTATGACCCAATGTGTATATTCCGTGATTTCAAAGATTATTTGCTCTAACGACTGAGTACAAGCACTCAATGATACCTTATTTTACCTGCGTTCTATGTGATAGAGATAGGGTTAAATGTGAAAGTTATAACTTACATGCATGTTTGTACTATATGCTGTATCACAAGTACTTTTTTGGAACGAAGGAAATCACTGTTAAACAATAAAATTATTAAGTATTAGTGATTATAGCTATATGCCGACTCCATGCGATTAAAACCACACATTTCACACAATGTATAAAACTTTGAATGGTGTATAAAAAATCTAGTGAAAAAATTAATTGAAAAGTTAAACACTAAATAACAAGCGTGAGTTTATAATGAGTTAAGTTAGGAAAGAATGAAAAGTGAGGTAATACCGGAAATTGTTCATCTAAGTGAAAATAATAATAAAAATATGCGCTAACAAGGTGAGAGTACATAGATTAACTAAACGAAACCTATATCTTTCTTTTCTGCCCTAAGGACAAGACTTAATATTACTTCTTTCGTACACAATGTGAAAATTAGGTAAGCAATCTTTAAATTAAGCATTGTATAGTCTGAGAATAAACTCGTGGAAACGAGACCCTTCACTGAATGTTGCATTCATCATTTCACAGAGAGAATTAATAAATTATTGCCAAATGAGATGTAAAAGTTGAGATGGGTTACTTCTTGACAAATCGATTTTAAAAGCTCAATATTCGCAGTAGTGTTACTCTGACCGTAGTAGTGCTTCTGAGCAGAGATCCATTTTCAAGTCCTGAATAGCTACTAATCTGGCGATGTATGAATGGCCTGTTCTATGCTCTTATGTGCAAAATGCAGGTATTCTGTGTATCTTTGTCAAATAATCGTACTGTAACCAACGAAATCAACTGTTTGTGGTCTGAATGCAAGAAACTGATCTCTGTAGACTACTATGTAGATGTCCAAAACTTCCTAGAAAGAGTCGCACAGTCACTAAAGGCTCTAACCACAGCAAGGCCACGGTTATTCGCCGTAAAATCTGAGGTTCCATTCAATAATAATGACATCAAAAATACAAAATTTTTTCAATATTGCCATCAGGCAGTCATACAGGTCAGCAAATTTTTACAGTACAAAACATGTACTGTAGAGCAAAATTATTATTATTATTGTATCCTTTAGTTCCTAGAGGAACATAGGGCTTCAGCTGCGCACCTCCATTGACTTCGGTTTTCTGACAACTTTTTCACCTTGCTCCAGGTCTGTCCACATGCTTTCATCTCCTCCTCGCATGACCTCCTCCAAGTCACCCTCGCACTGATGACCAACTCGCCGCCTCCCTTTCGGGTTCCACTCGAGGGCTTGTCTAGTGATGTCACTTGATGGTTTCCTCAGCGTATGGCCAATCCATCTCCATTTCTTTCTGCCTATTTGTTTCACAATCGGTTCCTGATTGGTTCGCTCATTGCCAGAGATCCCTGTTGCTGATCTTTTCTGGCCATCTGATCTTGAGTATTGAGCGGAGACAGTTGTTAATGAAGGTTTGAAGTTTGTTTGAGGTGCTCTTTATGACTCGCCAAGTC